TGTAATCCCAGCGTCCTGAGGAGCTGAGACAGAAGCAACACAGCAATATTAGCAAGACCCTGTCTCAAAGTTTTAAAAAAAAATGGGCTGGGATGTACACCTAGGATTCAATTCTCAGTACTAAAAAAATGCACATTTCATTGCTGTTATTTCTTACTTATTTTCATACACTTTATTATTGTTAGTTGTTTATATTGCTTTTAACGATTTCTTTTTTCATGATCATCCCCTTTCTATCTCTGGTTTTCAAACTTACATTTAATCCTTTTTATTTGTTTCTTAACTGTAGATTGAAATTAAAAATATTTACTTAATATTTACCTTTTTAGGGGCTGGGGATTTAGCTCAGCGGCATAAGCACCTGCCTTGCAAGCAGGCAGTCGTGAGTTCGATCCCTGGTACCGGAAAAACGGAAAGAAAAAAAAAATTTACGTTTTTACATACAAATTGTCACTTTTTATCCTGTTTTTTGCAAGATGTTTTGATTTCTACTTCCTTGAGACTTTAAATTCTTTGCTTTTTTTCATTCTTTTAATATGTTACACTTAAATTTCTGCATCTACATTTGTTTATAGCCCTTTTCTGCTATTTATCTCCATTTTATTTAGATGTTTTTATATTTTTTATAGTCTTACTCTTACTTTCTTAGTGTCATAGTTTGTGTATTGATTTCTTATGTGTTCTAGTTATTTCTTAATCATGTGTCCAAATTATTTTTCCACCATATCTTAAATTTCCTTCCTAAGTTGAATTTAGAGATCACTATTATCCCCTCATTTTGCAAATGAGTGCCTGAGACTTAGTGAGTTAGAAAGAGCTTGCTCAAGATCTTAGTGTGAGTCGTCAAGAAATCTAGGTAAGAAGCCTGCTATTTTGATCACCAATCTATCATTCTTTTTACCAAATCACACTCTACCAAATCAAGCAAAAGAGACAAACAAAATGGGTAATGAGCACCTCTTTTCTTTGAAATAAGGAAACATCAGTAGCATCAAGAGTACTCATTCTTAGGCTAAATCAAAGGTAAAAATGTCAAAGACAGTATCTTGGCAGCAGGTTGTACCTTGGTCTTTAATTAACAGGGCCAATGAAAAGAAAGTGAAAAAAGTAAGTTGAGAGATGGAACTTTGTTCCTAAAATAAATGGAAGAACAGAATCTGAAGTCAAAATAGAAATACATTAGTGGGCAAATCAACCACTCCATGTCTATTTTATTGTTTCAAGCAATCCTGCCTGTTTCACAAGTATGAGCTTCCAGTTCAATATTTGTAAATTTTGTTCTCTGCTATTCTTATAATACGCCATAAAATCAAACAGAAAGTTTAGAAGAATAATTAAAATATTACCACTATTAAAGTGTAATGCATATCTGCATAATATCTAAAAAAGAAAATAAGTGTGTATACCACTTTCTACAACCAAAATATTCACTCTTCCCCCCTTTTTAAAACAATTACATTTTACTGACTTTGTATTGTTTGAAGCACATTTCCATTTGGTACTTTTTGGTTAATATTACTTCTATATTTTATGCATGCTTCATTCCTTACATTTTAATGGTTTCAAAAAACCAATATAACCCTACCTCAGTGAAAGATATATAAAAATGTTCATCCTTGGACTCAAATTTAGCCTTCCCAATCGACTAAAGGTATCTGTGGAAAATCCATAATTTCTTCCTCCTACATTCCTACTAACATTCTGGCTACATGTTTATCAATGTTCACAATGACAGTAAAAGCATTGCTTTGTCCATCTGCTATTAAGATTTTATTTTTTCACTCAATAAACTTTTCAAATAGCAATCTCTTCAGGGTCCCAGCATCTCGAGCAGTTAGGTCCTTGGCAGAGCTGTTGCAGTAACAAACTAGTAGATAAAAATGCTAAGTGAATTTTCACTAAGCAAGAAATCTGTAAGTAACATGAATGAATCAAACTGAGGGCTCTGTGATAAGAAACAATAGGCCAGGGACCAAATCCATTTGCCCAAGACAAGAGGTGATTTCAAGTTGTAAAGGAGAGTGAAATCTTATTTGGGCTTATTTTACCAATCTTACAAGTGACTCCTAATGTATCTGAAAAGATGCCACAAGCCTCCACCCAGTAATGTGCACACATTAAGCATTTTCTGAGAGGAATGGGCTTATTGAAGCTAGTTGTATCTCTTAGAGATCTGTGAAAGAAAGGAGTACCTGGGTCAGCAACCTGTCCTCTGCTGAGTTGCACCAGCTGCTTGTTAAGTACATTCCTGGAACTCTGGTGAACAGCTGGCACAAGAATCACTTCTCCTGACATTGCTCCTTTCACTGGTGACCTTATTGGTCAACAACACAGAGCAACAGTGATTTCACGAGCTTCGCTCCCACTTTTTATGTCAACCACATAAACCTCCCTTGACACCCCACATACGGGCAGTAAATGGTTTTCGAGACAATAACAGCACAAAAAATAGCACAAAGTGTCAGAAAATGATTAACATGCAAACATTAAAGAAGCAGATTAATGAAAAAAAGCTACCCTGAGGAATACTGTGACATGGAGGCATATATGACTGAAAAAATGATTAGAAACAGAGAATATTAATAGATTTAATATAAACTGGGATGATTTGAGAATTGCAAACAAAAGTGTTCTGCATGCAGAAGTACCATTCAATTTAGAATAAATTGCCTGGTGATTAATTAATTTAGGACAGTGCTCACTGAAAAATTGCCACAGATTCACATCTGTCAAAGGAATTTGCTACAGATTGTCAAACCTCCACAACATAAATAGCAGAAATCTAGGGGACTACTTGCTCAGTAAGTGACCCTTTGTTCTGTTAATTAAAATTGCCCTCATCACCAAATATCACGAGCTCCAGGCTAAGAGAAGGAACAGAGTTATCTAGTTAGTCAACCAGAAGGTCACAGGACCCCATGTTAACTTTGCGAGAAAATTTAAACGGAGAGTAATCAATCACAGAAACAGAGCAGAAAAATAAGACCAGCTGACACCAGCAAGCAATTACTATGTACCGAACTTTGTTCTAAGCACTGAGTCTACACTATTTTGTTTAACCTTAAAACAACCCCCCAAAGCAGATACTATTTTCATCTCATATGTGAAGAGATTTAAATGTATCTAATTTGCTTTACAGACAACGTCCAATTCCACCCTCTTAATGTTCATTTCCTCTCCCTTCCTACCCAGTGCTCTAACCACTAACACGCATGCTCCTGTCAGACTGTCTTCTCTCGCTCAGATCTTTTACACCAGAGCTCACGCTTCAGCTCTAGGATCATTTATCCCTGAGACCTACTTTAAAAATAAGCACTTAATTATTATTGGCCCAGCTTTGTGTAGCTTAAAGATACGATATTTAATTAAGGCTTGAAATTGAAACAGATTCGTGGCCACTAATTTAATTCTAATTTATTTGCTTAAACCAGGGTCTTCTAAAACTGAATCATCTTAAAAGTTCAACCTCAACATAGTCAATAAAGTCCTTTTATTTTTCCGCAGCAAGGCATTTCATAAGAATTGTTACCTTTGTGTGGACCAGGGAGTTAGCTCAAGTCATGAGTTCAATCCCTAGTACAAAAAAAAAAAATTCTTACTGTGTGGAAGATTTGATTGAATCTGATTGAAAATGTAAATTTCTATTAGGATTGTGAGTGGGTCTTGAAGAAATAAAAAGTATAAAGGTCACAAAATTTGGTGAAAACCATGATAATGATTTTTTAATTTAAATAGCTATCTCCTTCTACTTATAAAAGTCAAAACTCCAGTTATTATCTAATAGTTCAGGGAATATAACATATCAATATAGAGAGAACCAAACATTCACTGTGGTGTGGATTAAATGAATAATAATCTTTTAAAGTGATTTCCAGACAGTAAAAACATAGTACAATACAACATAAAGACCCAAAGCAAAAATGTACATTCATATGTATTTTGATACTACCTAATTTCATGACCTTAGTAAATCACTAAACTGTTTTAGTTACCAACTTCTTCACCTGCAAAATGAGAAAAATAATACCTACTTCAGAATATACTGTGAGAATACCATGAGATGCCTTTCATTATAAATGTGAAAGTTTCGTGGATATTTGCTTTTTAAGCATTACTATTAACACAAGTATAACACACCCAAACACACACGCACATGCGTGCACATACACACACACACACACACACACACACAGTGCTCTAGTGATTGTAGCAACACTGAAACTGAAAGCTTTGGAATTCCAGTATGTGGGTGCACTCAGATGAGCATGAGTTTCCTATTTTTAGAATTATGTCACTTCTCCATTGTCCTTCCTATAAATTTCTTACTTGAAACAAGTCTATTAAACCTGTATCACCAAAATTAGCAGTTTATTAAGAATATCTACCTGGGATGAGGTGCCTAGAACTCACAGCACTAATTCACATCCCCCAAAATTCATCACCTTGACATCAGATGTCAGCTCCTCCCCTTAATCTTTTGGTATGAACTATGACCTCTCTCTTAATGCCCCTTGAAAGCTTTTCTGAAGGACTGTGATAACTGAAGGAAACACACACATAATGAGTAATATGAGACTAAGTAATCTAGATTTCAAGATATGATTAGTTCTGGGGGTTGTATAGGCTTAGAAACATCATCAAAGAATTAAAAGAGGAAAAAGAACATGCTCAGAAATGCCTGTCTTTAATCCTCTTAATTTTCTCCTCTTGTTTTCTTGGGCTCACCAGGTTTGGAAGAACGAAAATGATTAACCCAGTATTTACTTATGGCTTTGACCACACAAATCCCTTGGGCCCAGATCATGAAGGCTAATGGAATCAGGTGGCTATGCAACCTTAGGAGAAGCCCCTGTAGTTTGTCACACACTCTGTGTCTCCTATTCTCTGGACCAGAGACCAAATGTCAGCAGCCATTCATCACTGTATGCATAGTACTGTTTTACTGCCAAGAAAGGGGAAAATTAAGTAGACCATGTCCAATAAAGTTGTGAAATAAAACATAGACCAAAGAGAATTTTCTGTTTTAATAAAATGTTTTTTGAAAAAGAGTGTAAGTGTTTAACATACAAAATTTGTTTGTGTTCAAAGGACACAGTATTTAACCATCTTCATCTGCATTACCTATGTGGCCCTGGTAAACACTTAAATTTCTAAACATTTTATAAGAGTTCAGTGAGACCAGTGAGTGTTTATTTTCCTTCTGGGTCTCACTACAGCCTGTAAGTACTAGTACCTAGGATGTGCACAATGAATATTTGTGTTCATTGTAGTTGTTTTTTACTTCTCTGATATATTTCTGTAAATTTTCCTTCTAATTCCCAGTATATTGTCATTTGGGGAAATACGTACATACAAATATATATGGACTGAATGAACAATTTTGAATAATTACAGCTTTACCATTAATTAGGCATGGAACATGGGGACAGATCCTTAAACACTTTGAGCCTCCGTCTTCCCTCTGGAAAACGAAAATAGTATTTTCAGCATCAGAGAGATGAAGTGACAATGTGTCTGGAGTTCTGCATTATGGTAGTTGTTCAATAGTTTGAGAAGAGAGGGTAAAGAATTTGGCTACTGCTCACTCTTCTAATTCCTGGCTTATTTTTGAAGCTTCTTCTTACCTTGCTGTTTGTCTAAAAGTTGAAGACAATTATTAGGATCTTTCACTGGCAGACAAATGTGTCAGTGGGAGGAGTTCTGCAGGCTTTCCCAAGGTTTGACGTTGTTTATCAGTAACCCTCCAGTGACGAATCTAAACTAATTCAATCCTCTTTCCTCCACCTCTCAGTGGGCCAGAGATGTTTGTGAATGGCTTCCCGTAATGATTCTAGGAGTCCGTGAGTTGAGGGGGATAAACAGTTTCCAGTGCATTCAGCAGGATCCGTGAATTCCTGAAGCATCATCGGCATTCCTTCATCCATTTGTCTTTCCAATGTCCTTACTGAAAACTTGCATAAGGAATGAGCCTTTTAATGAAATGGAGTCTATATTCATTCCTAATAATAACAGTAGAAAATATCTATTATGAGCCTGGAGCTGTTCCAAATACTCCATGCATTTTACATGTGCCAACTCAGTCCTCATCCATCCTACAAGGATGAAAAGAAAAGAGGTTTATTTTGACTTACAGTTTCAGAAGTTCAGTTCTGCATTGTCAGGCTCCAATGCAGAAACCACACGGTGAAAGGGTCTGATACAGGAGAAAACTGCTCTCGTCATGGCAGCTAGGAAGCAAAGAGAGAATGGAGGAGCCAAGGAGGAACAAATACTATTCCAGGTCATATCCCCATGGCCCTGCCTCTTTGCACCAGGTTCTACTGATGTGGGAGATAAGGAGCAAGGTGCAGAAAAGCTGGATGGGGAGGTGAGTGGGACTGGTCATTATGAAACCCCACAGCAACACCTACATAGGTCTTGGAGCTCCCACAAGATGTGGATGGCATAAAAGCATGGCCATCAAGGAAAGCTACTATCATACATGAGCTTGCATGGTAGCTCCTGTCACATTTTTCAGACGTGGCATGTACTTCTACTTTTTTTTAAACTTCTTTTCTCTTTGTTTTGCCCAAGTTTGCTCTGCACAGCTTGTTTCTCTCATATCATTTACCTCAAAATTTCAAATTAACAGTTGGCACTGTTTTGGGCTAATCTCATCCAATTCTTTGTTTGAGACAAGAAGAACCTGAAATACTTTTGAATGGCGAGCCATTTCTTTTTTATTTTAATTTTATTTTGAATGTAGTAAAAATACAACAGAACAAGACAAAACAAAGCCAGTCGAGACAATGTAGGGACATTGATACAGAACTTCAAAGCAGGATACTGGGATAGTAGTAATAGGTACTATAGTATATCTCGTTACCTTCGCAATAGTTGTCCAGTCATTTAGGTATAGCGAAATCAAACCTATAACAGAACATTGTAAAACCAATTGAAGCAGAATATTGAATAGAGCAAAACAAACATTACAAAATGTAACAATTTGCCTTCAAACAGAACATAGAAGGAAAATCCCCCCCATATTTGTTATATTGCCTATGGTCACCCTCCCAAGAGATGCTCAGAATTCTGTCCCCAGCTGAGGGTGGGGAGAGGGATATGTTTGATTCTCAGCCCACGCCGCTAGGCTCACCTGAACAGCTGACTGGTTCTCCTCCCCACAAAGCCAGGGGCACTTAGCAAGAGGGCAGGCAAATTGCCTTCTTGTGCAGCTGCCTAAGTCCCAACATGAGAGCCATTTCTTTCTTTTTCTTTTTCCTTTTTTTTAATTTTTTTTTTTTTTTGTATTGTGGATTGAACTCACAACCTCACGCGTGCCAGACAGGTGCTTCCATCATTGAGCTAAATCCCCGGCCCCATGGATAGCCATTTCTAAAGAAACTATTCTACAGCACTGCTTTCTAACAATACACTGAGCTACAGCATGATAAAATTACCTTACAAAAGCCCTGCCTCTGAGCATATGAGAGTTCTGGGAGCCATAACTGAGTTAAACCATAACAGGGGATTATCTGAGGTGAGGTCTAAATTATGAAAATGAGGCATCCATGCTGGGAAAAGGGTTCCAGCAAAGAAATAACCTGGTGTACTCAGCCAGCAGGGTGGCCACAGCAAAATAAATAAAGATGAATGTAGAAGGAAATATTATAAAAGTCAACAAGGAATTAAAACACTCAGACCTTGTAGATAAGACTAAGTATTTTTAAAAAGCAATTGGAGAATTTTAAATATAGAGGTGTTTCCTGATTTATTATTATTATTGAAAGATCTTTATGGCTACTGAGGAAAATGAAGAGTAGGGCAACAAGAATTGAGATAGAGCAGTTAGGAAACCATTACAACAGCCAAGGCAAAGCATGATGGTGCCTTGGATTAGGGTAATAGAGAGAGACGGTCAGACATGAGACTTATCTGGAAAGTATAATGGAAAGGACTTGCTAAATGTATAGTGAGTTACCAATAGCACTGAAAAAATAAATTAATCCATGGCTTGGAGCAACTATTAGTGCCACTTACTGAACAAAAAATGCTTGGCAAAGCAGATATAATAGTGAAAAAATTAGTAGTGAGTGAAGAAGCAGTGAGTGCTCTGTTTACATAGGATGTATGTGGGATTGAAAACCATAGATATTTAAAGGGAGAGGTTGGATAATACATGAAGCTGGAAAAGAGAAGTGCAATTAAGATGTTCATGTGTGCTATCCAGTGTAGTAGCCACTATGCACACATAGATATTGAACACTTAAAATGTAGTTAATGTGACTACCAACTAAATTTTAAAATTTTAATTATTAGGAAGTGGCAACCAAATGGGACAGAACAAATATGGAATATGTTGATTATCACAGAACATTCTGTTAGTCATTGCTGGTATATACGGTTCTTAAACCATCAGACTTGGTGAAAACCTCTACAGAATAATACAGACTAAAAAGATACTAAGTTCTAGAGTCCAAGATTATTTAAGGGTCTGGAAAACTAAGTCTGAACATGAAAAGCAGTAGCTCTTGAGTTCAAGTAACCAAATTGTCATGAAGTTAAGAAATCACTTCTAGAAAGAAAGGGGGCGGTCAATGTATATAGAATTAACCTAAATTCTGTAGAGAATTCTCTTGGAGGGATGGTAGAGGAGAAAAGCCTACTTTAGGGGGATGGAGGAAATGAATAATAAGTAATGAAGATATTCTGAACCAGCTTTTGAAGTGTTTTATCATGAAAGGAAATAGAATGCAGCAATGTCTTAGAGGTTAAGGCAGATTTCCCTACTTCCCCCTAGACACAGATAATGTGTTTTACTAGGAAGCAAATGATTCAGTAGATAAAGGGAAATCGATGATTTCTCTTGACTTCTTAGAAAGAGTGTGTACACTTGGAAAAGTGAACTCTCCGAGAATGAACAAGGAGGTTAGAAGTGTAGGGTTCACCCTGGAAAGAAACAAGGACACAAAAAAGAGGGAATGATGAAATTCAGCCTAACAAAAATGACACACAGACATCTACAATAAAAATATTTATTGCCACCATTACTGAACAATCATTATTTGGCATGTCTTCTCTATATACATGCTCTCTGAAGGTCATAACTGACCCAAAAAGGAAGCATTATGGTATTGTTTTTGCCAAAGTAGATGTAGAGGCCTAAAGCCATATAAACAATAAGTGGAATAATTGGAGTCTGCCAAAGGAAGAAATGAAGTCTTCAGTTTACTCATGTTAACATTGAGATTATACCTGTTAGACACTAAAGTAAAGATTCGGAGTAGGTAATTGATAGCCAGTTGTCTAGAGTTTGTAGGGAGACAGCTTTGGGCCTGTGTTTATCTACCCGCTTTGCCCATTCCTCCCCCCACCCCCCCACACACACTTTACTGCTGCATATAATGGGCCAAAGTACAAAAGGTGAAAATAAATATTTCTCAGTTTTTATACAAATAAGATAAGAAAAAACAGAAAAAGATAGGAGACCTGAAGCTGCAGCATAGGAAAGTTAGGGTGAACGCCATGAAGGGTTTTGACTTCTTTTAATTTGGTTTGATTTACTTATTTTTCTGTTTATTTGCTCACATATTTGTTTTATAATTAATAATTTGTTTTATAATTAATTAGCTTTCCTTCCTGTAATGGAGATGTCTCCTCAAAGTCTCATGAGCTCATAGGCAGGACTTTTCAGAGCAGGCTGGATATACTGTGTTGTGTACGTGATACTAGGATTAAGGGTGTATGGTACCAAATTAGTCTACTGATTGATTTACTATAGTGCTGAGTGTGGATAATGGGAAGTCTCTCCCCGGCTGCAGGTGGCACCATCCAAAAGATTTGTAATCTGGATGGCATAAAATGAAAATGAGGACTGCTGCTGCGGCTGCTGCCGCCTTCTGCCTCCTCGCCATGGACTATTTCTCCTCTGCAATGGTCCTCTGCCAAAAGCCTCTACAACTGTGAGCTAAAGTAAGCCTTCCCTCTTAACGGATGGGTTTTAAGTGCTGTGTATCAGCAACAAGAAAAGTAACTAAGACATTTCCCTAAAGGTTTTTGAAAAATAGAACAAGACTTCCACTCCTGAGAACCCGAATAGATGTACTTTTTCCTCCTCCTTTTGATAAGTACAACTAAGAACTGGGCACTTATATAAAATAAACATAAGAAGAAATTTGGCTACAAATTACAAGTCCTGAGGAACAATAAGTACTCTTTTTGCCTCAAATATACTTGACTTGGAACTGAAGAAATCAGAGACCCAGAAATATCAGTGAGCATTGAAAAAAGTTCCCTGAAAACCTGCTGTCTCTAATCAAAGAGAAAGGAAAGGTAAAATTAAGCAAAGTAGGAAACGTTTAGATAATAACTTTATTCCAGCTGACCATCACCAGAAACAAAACAAAATACACAACGTAGAACCATCACCCCTCTGCCAAAACCCATGGGATTTCCACTCTCATAGACCTACAACACAGAACACAATAAACCCACCAAGATGAGCAGAGAAAGTAGATAGTGATAACATAAATTCCCACTGAAATGATTCTGTAAGAGTATTAGTGGACCATGGGAGGAGCCCGGACTACCACTTCCACCAGAAGGAACAAAGGCAGTGGGTCTGCCTTAACCATTTTCTCATCACTAGTACAAAGTACCCAGTATCCAGAATTTAAAGTAGGAGAGGCTTATGTTGGCTCACAGCTTCACAGATTCAAACACAGAAGTGATATGATGCAAAGACATGCTGAGGAGCAAAGCTGCTCATGTCATTGTGGTCAGGAAGCAGAGAAGATAAGATCCAGGGAAGGAGATACACCTTTCCAGGTTACACTCCCAGTGACCCATCTCCAACCAAGCTGCATTTCCTAACGGCACATTCCGCTATCATCTCCTGACCCAGTCATTTCCCAAAAATCCCACCTCTGAACATATTAGGCTTTTGAGGAACATTATATTCTCTAAACAGTAACACATATCTAGTGGAAAGTTAGGAATTTTGCCATTAATCATCAGCCAAAAGGCCATCCTCAGCACAGTGTCAGCAGAGACCAACAGGGCAGCTGAAATCCAGTCCTGTCTAGCATTAAGGAGGAAACTTGCCCTCCCGAAGTGTAAATAGAGGCTGAACGTCTATCTTCTCCTGACAATAGGAGACAAATACACAGTTATAGTTGTAGACTTCAATAAACTTCAAAAGCTGATAGAACATCAGACCAAAGAATTTGAAAGTCTTGACGACAACATCAAGCAATAGCTCTGTCTTAGTTACTTGTTGCTGACACAAAATACCTGACACGCAAAGTTAAAGGAGGAAAAGTTGACTTTGGCTCAGTTTGTAGAAATTTTATTTCATAGTTGACTGGTTCCAAGGCAAGATGAAATGGCAGAGGAGAAACAGTTCATTGCAGACACAAGACAGAAACACGAAAAGCAGTGAAGTCATGAAGCAGCAAGAGACAAGCAGCCCTCTTGCTGTCCCTTACGGTTGATCAGGCTACTGTCTACTCACTCCCAGGGCGAGGCGCCCTTGATCCTAGCCAGAACTATGCCAAACTAGTTTAGTGGAGACACACCTTTGACTCCAGCATTACACTCTAGATCGACCATCTCTGAAAAGCCACCTATAATAGCTTGAGGTTTTAGAGGGACATCTAGACACAATCCATGACAAGCTCTAACTGATTGCAACATAGTATTTTACCCAACAAAAGTAGAATATATATTTCTTTCAAGAGTGTGGGAAACCTGTACAAAACTAGATCTTATGTTGGGCCATAAAACAAATCTCAGAAGATTTAAAAGAACAAATTTATATACACTGTGATTTAAAAGTACAGAAATTATATAGACTGTTTTATCTGATCACAATGAACTCAAACCAGAAATCAATAAAAAGAAAATCTCCAAACCCTTAGGAACTAAGCAAA